TATCTGGCTCGTCTGCTGCTTTGGAAAGTGAAAAGCTAGGGTGTGGTTACCTTCAGAATGCAACCGTGTTAATGTGATCAGGTGAAATGATGATTAATATTTCTTTTACTACTTTGGGTTGTGTTTTCGTTAGAGTGTCTGTATAGAATTCAGGAAACGTTTTTATAAATTGCAGTTTTAGATTGCGAATCTTGAATCGGTGGAGAAAGCCCGGCAGAAATATGATGATGTCAGTGTCAGAACAATAGTGGGCATACCTCGACACCTGTAGCTTAGGCTAGGCCACTCTTGTGTTAGGTCTCTAAGTTTTGTGTGTCACTTTCAGTGCCGTGTCAGAGGATTTGTTGCATTTGACAGAGATCTAATCTAGATCTAGATCTAGAGCAAATGAAGTTGTTTATCTTAAATTCTCTGCTGTAAATTGTAAACTCTTAGCTAGCAATACTAGATCTAGAATCTAATACTCAACAATAACAAAGCCAGCAAACCATTGATTAGACTATGATTTGTGGAGAAAGAGAAACTGAAGAGCGTTTTAAAAATTCAAAAAAAATCTAGATCTAGATTTTAGATTCTAGATGTCTAGAGGACTGTATCTAATCTAGACTAAGTTAAGATCTAGATAGATCTAGATTCTAGATAGACTAGATCTAGATCTACATCTAGATCTAGAATCTAGATCTAGATCCAGATCCAGATCCAGATTCTAGATCTAGTCAGGCCTCCCCCCCCCCCACATTAGGTTAGAAGGCATAAAAGGCTAGATAGCTTTTTCTCATCATTATCATTAGTAGGGGCCTAAAATCGGTGCTTTTTCGGTAGTTTCCACCCCCCTTATTTGAGCCTGACCTACATCTAGATTCTAGATCTACATCTATACGTTTGATTCGCGGTGAGCTAAGATATCAAACCTAACAACAGCAAAACATTAAATTGTGGTAAAATTCAGGGGGGCATGCCCCCCTGAAACCCCCCTTCCTATTTTTGTTAGGTCAGGGGGGCAAGCCTCCCTGAAACCCCCTACTTTTGGGGCCAAAACCCGTGAATAACAATTGCGGGGTGGGAACTACCGAAAAAGCGCCCTAAAATCTAGGTCTATAGGCTGGCTCTATTTCTCCAGACGTTCGTGAAAATAAACTTGAACTCTATTTCTCCGAACGGTTTCCATTCTCGAGATTTGTAGATGATAAATAAGCGAATGGAGTGGCCCGTGTGTGTGTGTGTGTGTGTGTGTGTGTGTGTGTGTGTGTGTGTGTGTGTGTGTGTGTGTGTGTGTGTGTGTGTGTGTGTGTGTGTGTGTGTGTGTGTGAGTGTGCATATATAGGAAGAGGCTAGCCGTACTTAATGACGGCTAGACTGGCAGTCTAGCCGTACTTATTCTAAATATGATGGCTAGACTGACTTAAAAAAAAAAATAGGCCTACTGAATTGTAAATATAAATTTTTTGTGTGCAGTACCTAGAGTATGAGACGAAACCAGGTGCCTTAATGACAGTGATGTATTTTCAACCTCTTGTTTTCTAATGTTAATAGGGCCTAAGATAAGGACGGCTAGACTGTCAGTTCTAGCCGTACTTAAGGACAGCTAGACTGTCAGGCTAGCCGTACTTAATATTGATGGATGAATTGTAAATGAAATTTTTAGTTTGCAATGCCTAAAGTAATTGTATTTCAGACAAAACCAAAAGGTGCCTTACTGACTTGCATGTATTTGAACCTGAATAATAACTAGATCTAGATTCTGTACTTAACAGGCTTGAGTCGATAGGGCCAAACCTAGATCTAAGTACGGCTAGACTGGCAGTCTAGCCGTACTTAAGTACGGCTAGCCACTTCGTATATATATTGTGTGAGTGTGTGTGTGTAAGGTGTGTGTGGGGGGGGGGGGGGGGAGGCATTTTTTTTTTACATGATGAAGGATTTTAGTTTTTGCTGGGTGACTAAATGCAAAATAGGTTACTGCCTAGGTCGAGCAGTCTTGTTTTCTCGCAGTACCTTTTGAAGGTATTTTCAAATGAAGAAAGTATAGTCCGGGAACGCTGCCCCAACCACAACTGAAGTATCGCTCTAGAAATTGAATTTGATGTAAAAAATGCTTCTTCCCAGTCCTCACAGAATGAAAGGATGACGCCTAAATCTCGCAAATAGCCAAAAAAATCTCGAGATCGGAAACCGTTAGGAGAAATGAGTTCAGCTTTATTTTCCCGTACGTTGGTAGAAATAGTCACTTCGAAATCTAGAATCTATATATATATAGATCTATAGAGGCCTAGATCTAAGATCTTGAATAGACTAGAAGGCTAGGCCAACTCTTTTTAAAAAAAAACTTTTATAGTAAAGTCTGTAGTCTCGTTTTATTTTTATGATTTAATCAGTCTAAAATGTATTGTAATGGTCGCCAATTTTTATGCAATAGACTAGATCTAGATTTCTAGATCTAGATCTATACAGATTGGCTGGATAAATTTTAATATAAAAGCCTAACTTGCCTTCGTTTTAATAAAAGTAAAGCATTTAAAGACATGAAGCTACTGCGAGCACCTAGCGCTCCTTTGTGATTGGCCCAAATATAGAAAATCTAGATCTAGATTACGTATTTTCGCCATCTATTTTTGTCGTCTTCTGGGGCTTCCCTCGCCAGTTAACAAGATCTAACCGTATAAGCGCGCGATGGTTAACCTACGTCTCCAGGTTTCATCGCTGACTGCCTTGACTGTGCGTGTGTGCGCACTCGCGCTTGTGTGTATGTGTGTGTACGACTTTGAGAAGAAGGTAGATTTATTTATGGAACGAGAATTGCTGAGATTGTTTATAAAAGATAACACAAAGTTATACACAAAGTCAACAGTTACTGGCGAGGGAAACTCATGAGTCTTGGGGGAAACCCCGGAAGATGTAAAAAATAGATGGCGGAAATACGTCATCTATATTTGGGCCAATCTAAGAGATGTGCTAGGTGCTCACTGTAGCTTCATGTCATTTAAAGTGTCTGAAAGACTTATTTATTTGCTTAAAAAAAACTTGGTGTTCAGAGATGGTAAGTGATTAGAATCATTCTTTAGTTTTTAATAGGGCCCAGATTATCAATAGGAGTACTGTTTGACACTGAAGTTAGTTTAGGAATTTTTCAGCTCTCCCTCTTTATTTCATTGCCGTTGAAGTTGGCATAGTGTCTCCCTTGACAGTTTAAAATTTCAAATGTAGATTTTCAGTCTCTGCTGATACATAAAAGACATGAAGCTACTGCGAGCACCTGAGCACATGATGGCTGTGATTGGCCCAAATATAGATGAGACGTATTTGCGTCATGTATTTTGTCTTCCGGGGTTCCCCCCCAAAAAAACTCTTAGGTTTCCCCCGCCAGTAACTGTTGACTAGATCTCAGTGTGTTAAAATTTTTTAAAATATTAATTTGTGTTGTCTTTTATATATATAAACAATTTCAGCTATTCTCATTCCATAAATTTACCTTCTCCTCAAAGTTGCACACACACACTCACACTAGCGTGTACGCACGCACACACACTCACAAGCACGTGCGCGCACACACACGCGCGCTCACAGCCCAAGCAGTCGGCGATGAAACCTTATGACGTAGCCTATCGCACTCTAAGCGGCAAAGCGGGCCCAACTCGGTGAGACCTAGTCAACTGGCGAGGGAAGCCCCGAAAGACGACAAAAATAGATGGCGGAAATACGTCAGATATTTTGGGCCAATCACAGAGGTGTGCTAGGTGCTCGCTGCAGCTTCATGTTGATAAAAGTCTGCCTTGAATGTTGAACAAATTGAATTCTTTTTGGTCCAAGTTAGATAGTAGGCTATAATATTCAGATTCTCGTTCCTCTTCATCCGAAGGTCAAAATGAGGCTTAAACTTTTATTAAAATAAAAATATAAAAGTTGTTCAGGCTTAATTTTTGTGTGTTCCTTTCCTCCCTGTCAATTGATGTCACTGTTGGGCTAAACAAGTAAGCCAACCTATTATAAAATGTCTCATCTAGACTAATTTTAGAGATTTTTCTAACTAGAAACTAGAAGTAAGTCTGCATTTAAAAGACAGCAAATCGGACTTGGTTTTTTTTAAAAATGGGACTTGTCAAGAGACTTTTGAAAAATAGTTTTTATAGGACTGTCCCAAACCCTCATACGCGGCCTGCACTTAAGATACATTTTTTGTTTCCTCATGGCCAAGGTATTTTTCTGCTATAAATTGTCTACGGGCTACCTTTTTGACACATATACTAGTATTGTAACTAGGTGAGTCCTGTTGTTACAATCAGTTTCTCATTTCAGTTAGAGAATATCTTGAAATGATAGGCCTACTTTGTTGTTCCCTACCGTCAAGTTGTATGTTCACTACAAGGATATTGTGCAATGCTGTTGCACAGAATCAGAGGGTGAATTTAGGTAGAAAGGTTAAAAAGGTAGTCTTGGTAAGTAAAGGTCACTTTCGCTTGCACTCTTCTATTTGATGTAAATCCTTTATCTTAAAGTTAAAATTAAAAGTAAGTGTTTTCTTGATCAGCAGCAAGATCTATGCTTTCTTCTCTACACAGCTTTTTTTTTTGTTTAGAATACTTCAAGTAGTGAAATCTTTCTTTGGAGGCTGCAAACATTGAAAGAAAGTTTTCCGTTTTTGACTCATTGAAGAGAGAGGAGCAAATTTATGATTGTTTTAACATTGATTAACAACGTTAGTACGGTTAGTTTAACCTCTAATCCATATTTATATATTTAAATAATACCAATTTATGGTACTGAGAGCTGGTTTATTTTGTAGAAAGTTATGTTTTGAACATGCTTTGGCATTGGCATGTTAATTGTAATTTGTTTGTCTGTTTACCTTTTAATGAAGAACCGTCAGGAACACACCTATTTCTTATTGCATAATCATTGATCATGTGTTCTTCTAAAAATTCTATAGAGTGATGCCACATACTATGTTCTTTGAGTGAATTCTGATGAGGATTACTTCGGACTGAGGAGGGATTTATACAGCAATGGCTACTAATTTTGTGCATATTGGAGACATTGTCTCTTTGTATGCTGAGGGTACTGTCAATGGATTCCTGTCCACCCTTGGGTAAGCTGCTGATAGTTTACAACTTGTTCCATTTGTCACCAATACATCTTGTTTGATAATGTTTGGTAAAGTAGGCGTGATTTGTTCCTTTAGAACTAAACGTTTTTTTATTGAAGGACCTCCATCATGTCAGTATTACATCTTCAGATCAATGCACAGAGTAAAACCACCAAAAGCCGTCCACAATGTGCACACTCTATCCATGGAAGCTCACACTCATTTATCCACTCTAATGTGTACACAGACATAACATATATATACTCATGGTGTATTTATTCATGATGATGAATCATGGATAAACTTGTTCTCTTTTGTTTTAGAATGAAAATTTTGCTTTCTGTGCTGCTGTGATATATCTGGCTGTTTTACATTCATAAAATATTTCTCTTGACAAGCGTTTTTCATTCCTTGTGAACTGAGGGTAAGGATTAGATTAGTGTATTATATTGTAGTAACTTAACTTTCTTGCCATTGATTTTGATCGAATCTGTGCTTGTGCCAGAGAGCTGCTTCATGTGTTAGAATATTTAATGGACTTCTGTCTTCCGTGCAGCTGCCCACAATTTTTTTTTCTCTAATGATGTGATAATTTTACTGACTCTAATGACTTAATTTTTTAATGTTATTTTCCCTCTTGCTAAATAAATATAATCTGTGCAGTTAGTATGTATACTTTAAATACTTTCTTATAATTATTCTTCTTCAGCCTGGTCGATGACCGGTCTGTGGTGCAACCAGATGCAGGAGATCTCAACAACCCCCCGAAGAAGTTCCGAGGTAACATATGATTTTGCTTCTTAACTTTGAAAGATTGTCGTAAAGTTCGGGCTGTTGAGTGCACCTGTTATAAGCTGCACCCACAAAACATTTTTTTAAAATCTGAACTTTTTTTTCGCAAATAAGCCGCATTGGTGTATAATAAGCTGCAGCAGATTCAGGAGTCTCGAAAAGTACTCACCCCTCTGTTGTACCATGTTTTTGTAGGTGTATTCTAAAGTGTAGTGTTTTGAGATTTCAACTTTTTAATGTTTAGGTGTATACTAAGAATAGATAAGGGAGTGATGCTCCTGCAACTGGGAAAATCTGCAAATAAGCAGCGTCTTTAGCCACAGGGTTTGAAGCTGAGTAAAAAAGTGGCTGGCTATAGTCTGAACTTTTTTACACTTTTGTTGCTCTTGCTTTGCTATGGACAGAAGTACACTTGTTACATTCATTCCTCTCAATCTCAGGGCTTTCTCACACCACATCTTGCGCTGTTGTAGAGGTCTCTAGTATTATTTTTTTGTGGTATCATCCTGTTTTGATGCCACATAAATTTATTTTCATTATATTATGATGAAAGATTTTATGCAACTCCTCAATATGATCTGAAATTCTGCTTGTACTTTCATTTTATTTCTCTCCTGCATTTTTCACTGGCCCATTTCTTCCTCGAAGTACTCAGTGTATTAAATTTTTACAGACGGATTTTCTCCTTGGTTGGTTTTCTCAGGAGAGTGATTATATTTCTCTGGTGTTAGTGTTATAATATAATGCTTTGAAAATTGACCTAGTATGGTCCAATGCTAGATGGAAGAAGAGCCATATGCTTTCCAACTGAGCCTGATGTTTGTCATGCCACACACTATTACATCACCTTTGTGGAATTGAACTGACAGAAATGGTATTGTTTTAGGAAGTCATGAATTTCTGGCTGGACCTAGAGGTTCAATATAACCCTGATAATGCGAACTTTTGGGGGAAACAAAGAACTTTAGAACTTCTTCATTTTAAATAGAGTTCGCGCAGACTGTTAATGAAAAGAAAAAGGGGGGAGACATCTGGATTCTTACCGCTTGTTGACTTGATGTGTTTTAAAAGATCTCACTTTTAGTCATTTAATAACACGTGAAGAGCTGCCAACTTTTGGAAATTGAAAAAAAAAAAAGTACAAACCTTATTTTCAACCAGAAAAGGATGCCTTGACTGCACATTTTTTTAAAGACTTAAAACAGAGTTAGCAGCTGTTTACGAGATTGTTTTTCCATGCTGATACTTTGTTTAAGGGCACACCTTTGTCTCCGTTGGTATCATACTGGACTGGTGCAGCTGGCCTTGGTTCGAATCCCTAAGGGGGCATGCTGAATTTTGTTTTTTAGGGTAGTTTTTAAGATTTGTCCTGTTCGCAGATGGATGTTAAAAATTTTTAGAAAGTGCTAGATGGATGTGACACTGTTTATTTTTTTATCACAATCTGCAACTACTAATACTAATGATAAAATGGTGATAATGATAACAATGATAGTCATATGATTACAATTTATGTTTATAGTACGGTCAGAATTTGTGGCACAACTTATCCTTAAATTATATCTCTTTAACTGGTGAATTAGTGTTACCCATACGTTGCACAGCAGTTTACACAGTTTGTTTCAACTTAATCATGTTTTTTCACTACAATTGAAACTAGATTAATAACATTTTGTACATTTATAAATATGCAGTGCAATATAATACAAGAAACCTCTGTTATGCGGAAAATGGGAATGTTCACAGCACTTCCTGCTTCTCACATTATTTTGCGTTAATATACCATGATATAGCCCCGTGATACTTTTTTTAGTGGCGAAACTTTAGACCACACATAAATGTAATCTCCTAATAATTCCTACTTTATATTTAGTCTGGTGAGGAGCAGGATGATGGTGAGGGGGAATCGTAGACTGGTTATTGTTTTTAAAAAATGCCTTGATCAGATGCTGATATTCTTGACTTAATTAGATACCAATAAAAATGTGTGATCCTTCAATGTTCAGAGTTTATCACAAACAACTCTAAATATATTAAACATGTACATATGTATGTGCAATTAAAAGAAGGGAAGTACAACGCAGTCCATTCCTGTTCAGTTGCAATGCAATTACACATGTGTGCGTTTTGGTTTTGAAAACTGATGAAATAATTATTATGGTCATCTTTTTAGTTAATTGTAGTAGGGTTGAGATATTTATCATTGAATAAAAAACATTATAAAAAGACGAATTCACATAAACCTGTCAATTTAAAAAGATCTTTCACTTTCATATTCAAAGACTCATATTTCAATCTTCTCCTGCGGGACAACCTTGAATTATGAAATTGAATAATTTTGCTTGGACAGCTGTGACACATGTGGCTGGCTGAGCAGTACCACATTAATTTTTCAACTTAGGTAGAGTAACTGGAAGATTTTCTGGCTCACTGTATGCAGTCGACATTGTCCAACACGATCTCCCATTGTTGAGGAGGCAAGTAGCTGTCTTAGACAGGTGGACTCTCTAGGACAATGTCAATGCAATCATAATATGAAAACGCCCACAAGGGGTAGTGTGGCAAGTGTTCGTTTGTATAGGTGGTTGTCTTGGCTGGACAGGTGGCTGTTAGAGCAGATTCGACATGTGTATAGTACTGATTTAGAAGTCGTCTCATTTGTGAACGAGCAAACGTGGCGTCGGTGGCCTAGTGGTTAGGCTCTCGGACTCGCAACCGTAAGGTCGGGGGTTCGAATCCCGTCAGGGGCCCGACGTTGTGTCCTTGGGAAAGGCACTTTGCACAAATTTTCCTCACTTCACCCAGGTGGAAATGGGTACCCAGCTATAGACAGTGAAAGATCTTGTCAGTTTGATAGT